TTATTTTCACCCTCTGCAGCTTTGAGCAAACGTGGAGAATGAAAAAGTGATTTCGTTCTGAAATTTAATGTAGGTTTAAAAAAAAGAATCAATACGCGAACAGACGGTTACTGAGAAAACGTATTAAATTAATAAATGAAAAACACACAAAGATTCTCAGAGAAATGCTGGTTTTTCACACGATGACTGAAACTTTAACGTCAATCTTTCCCTCCAGAAGTTTCTGAGCATCAGATTGTTGGAGCGTGGAGTCCGAGCGGCAGTAATTGTGTTGCTGGTTGTACACACAACAGTTAATTAAGGCTGAGTGGGAGTGGATTTGTGTTCCTGGCAAACGATGAAATAGGATGCGTCTGTTTGCTCGCAGACAGTGGATGACAGATTACCCATGAGCCTCTGGGGCCGGGCCAAGGCACGCGGGCGAAGCCGTGGGTGGTCAGCAGGTTGACACGGTAACAAGCTCCAGTGGTCTTTGGGGGGGAGACGGCCGTAACGGAATGAAAAACAAACTCTTGGAGCGTTCAGAGCCGTGATTTATGGCTGCTGGAGCTGCTTTTAYTTCAGAACGGGACATAAAAGTAAATTATACCCGATGAGAAGTAGCTGCTTTGTGCAGAGCAAACAGCAGACATTAAAGGAGAGCAGGAAAGAATTGTGTTTTTGTTTTTTGTGGGGGGGGTTGCAGAACCTGAGAACCCAAACGGGGCGATAAGACTCCCCAGGAACCGCAGTAATGAAACCCTCTCATCTGAAAACCACTGAGCTGCAGACTGATTGTCTTTCCTCTCACTGCTGACAGGCAGTGTGGATAAACCTGGAGGGAGGGGGGCTTTAGGGGCTTGTAAAAACCCACCTCTGCAGGTTTACGKTGTGTGATGGACCAGAACTGTTCTGGGGTCTCATTTATAAAGGATTGCGTGGAAACCGTACTAAAAGTGAACGTACGGCCAAAAGGCGGAAATGGCGTACGCCAAAAAAATTCAGATTTATAAAACCGTGCATGTTTCTGCGCATCTTTAATTTATAAATCACAGCCGCACGTCAGAGTTTGCGCACGAGGTCCCGCCTCACGTTCTACCCTCT